CTCTCACTTCCATACATCACTACTGCGAAAACCATAGCTTTAACTATACGGACCTTTGTCGGCAAAGTGATGTCTCTGCTTTTTAAGATGCTGTCTAGGTTTGTCACTGCTTTTCTCCCAAGAAGCAGGCGGCTTTTAATTTTGTGACTGCTGTCACCATCTGCAGTGATCATGGAGCCCAAGAAAGTGAAATCTCTCACTGCCTCCATTTCTTCCCCTTCTATTTTCCGGGAGGTGATGGGACCAGTGGCCATGATCTTAGGTTTTTTTTTATGTTGAGCTTCAGACCATATTTTGCGCTCTCCTCTTTCATCCTCATTAAAGGTTCTTTAATTCCTCCTCACTTTCTGCCATCAAGGTTGCATCATCTGCATATCTGAGGTTGTTGATATTTCTTCCAGCAATCTTAATTCTGGCTTGGGATTCATCCAGTCCAGTCTTTTGCATGATGAATTCTGCATATAAGTTAAATAAGCAGGGAGACAATATACAGCCTTGTCGAACTCCTTTCCCAATTTTGAACCAATCAGTTGTTCCATATCCAGTTCTAACTGTAGCTTCTTGTCCCACATAGAGATTTCTCAGGAGACAGATGAGGTGATCAGGCACTTCCACTGAACACACATACAAATGCAGTTCTTGCTTTAATACAGAGGCAGAGGCAGCTAACCTGATCCTATATCTTGCATGTGTTTTGTATAGCTGTGAAGCCAAGCATATATCAAGGGGCTATAGTGTTGGGGTTTTGTTTGTTTGTTTACTGCAATGGATATTCCTTTAATGAATACAGAACAGGTGGCATTTATTGGACAGAAATTTATTGAACAAAAATAGATTTCTACTTGTAGGAAGTTCTGACTGCTGAATTTTTGCTTGTTGGCTGGCTGTTAAAAGCAGTCAGAAAACAGTTGCAGTCCTACATTTGCACCTTCTTCCCAGATCGAACTGCTCAGAGCTCAAACTAGATAGTAACATTCATCAGCTTTCTTTTCTTGAGAAATGATGCCATCATGTGGCCATTTTTATGTACACATTGAAGAAAAAATCAGGTGTTTTGAATTTCCCTTGAGCTAGCTTTATTGCTTATAATCCATCAACAGATTAACTACCACGTAAAATAAACAGTATCTTAATTCATTGAATGTGTTACTTGAAACAATATTAGATTAAGGAATTGGTTTTAACACAGATAAATAATTTCTTTGGAATTGTTAATGGATTATTGGCAATAGTGCAATGAGATCTGAAATCATTTTACAAGGAGGAGTTCTGATTAAGTTTCTTTTCAAAACTGACACTGTTAATCACCTTTCATTTACATTATGCTTACAACTGAGCTCTAGCATTTTTTAATAATCAGATTTTACTTTCCTGCATATTTTAAAGCTACCTAACAAGAATATTTTGGAATATGAAAATTTCAGAATTCTCTTTGGTTATTGGGGTTTAGTCTAATAATTAGTCAGAATTTTACTAGAATTATACTACTTTGGTTTGCAACTGTATGCATGCTTTTAGTATAAGTGTAGCCCATTATGGAAATAAGTTAAGTTTAAGTCAGGAACTCAAGTCCAATTAACTGAAATCTAGTATTCTATCTGAATCTACAGCCTTAGTCACCCTTGTAAATCATAATTACTAGGCTCTGTGCAGCTCCAAGTAACATTTCATGCACACTCAAACACTACAATTAACAGTTCCACCATTCAGAATTCAGTACCTTCCTCTTCTTTTAAAGTGGTTGTGTTAGCATAAAGGATCTGACATAATCTGATGTTTCATTCCAAACAGAATGGTACATGCATATTCCTGACTATTAGTAAGTTTTAAAGGGATAACAAAAACATTTTCCAGACCCTTGCCCGCAGGATAAAATCCCCTTGTCAGCCCCTGTCAGCATTCTGAAAGTATGACACATGTGCACAATCTGTGTTATATCACCCCTCCCTCCAGGCTATATGACCATTCATTGCTGGCTCGGGTAAGAATAGCCTTTGCATTTTCACACCCTTTCATTTGTGTGCCATTTCTGAATCAACCTGCTTTCACAAAAAGGAACAAACTCTTATACAGTAGTTTCTCAAGCAGAGTCCATTGGGATTTCTATGCTGATATTCACTGGGCCAAAGAGGGTCAGTTAACAAAGGCTGCTTCAATTCACAGAAACATTTCCCACTGTATTAACTTTAAAGAAAGTGGCAGGTCTGGGAACAGAATGAGACAGGAGTCCTTTCTTCTTCTTTGTTCTGAATATTCTATGCAGTGACAATTAGGTGAGTGAGTGAATTGATTTGTATATTTATCAGTTAAAGAATATTTCAGATGTATGGATTATTTATTTGGATGCCATTTTTAAACGAATATTCTTAGTAGCCTGCGATGCACTTCTTTACCTTTGGCTTTGTTTCTGTAAAAGTGTCTTTTCATTCTGCCCCATTCCTGATACCGAAATTGGTGAATAATGAAGTGTTTGATTTAGTACATGTCAAAAGTAAGGCCACTCTGAGACAGGATTAAGCCCAAAAGGCTTGAAGGCCCCTGCTTATCATTGAACTGGGCTATTTAAGCCTATTTTTCACACTCATTTTTGACAAGATGGCTTTTACCAGTCATTTTCAGATGGCAACCCTTTCTTCTGAATGTACCACACCTGGTGAGACATTAGATCCATGTCATCATGTATATTTCTCATGTACCTGAGAATGATTTCTTAAACAATTCTCTATGACATGGTAGATTTCAGCTGATGAGGGTACAGTTGGAGGTAATTGCCACTATGCAACAGTAATGAACGGAAGCCAGCTCTTTTGCTATATTGCAAAATCTGGTCTTCCTCTAGGAACCCCTTTTCTTCAGGGGATGAGTTTCTTAGGCTTATTTTTTCTCTCCATCAGTCTTGCTTTTCTTTACTATTTACAAATTAATCCCTTTTCTTCCTCTTTTTCCTCTTGCGAGAGGGCAATTGGGGGTGGAGACATGGTATTAACCCCTGTCCTTTGCAAACATGGGTTCAAACCCTCACTTCTGGAAGCAAAGTTGCTTAGGGGAGCAGCTTGAAATGGGCAGGGAAGGGTTTAAATATCCTCTCCCTTCTCCACTCTGCCCCTCTGAAGTGGATTTTATTCTTTGAAGGAAATAATGTTGAGAGTTTAATAGGCATATTTAAGTTTCATATGTAGTTACACCCTATATTTCAGGAGTTGTGACTTGCATACATACTATCGTCTGTTGTCTGGTTATGAATATATTGAACATATCTGGGGACTTGGAAGAAGGTGTTTGCTTTACACCTAGAAAAATTGCTTATGAAACGTAAACGTGGGTGGGGTTTTAAATTCTCTAGACCTCTTATTCCAGAACAATTTTGCCTTTCACACTTAACGTTTTAATTGCAGGTTCTGAATAAAGGTGCATTCAGAAAGGGCACAGTAATCAAATGCAACTGTAGTTCTTATCCTGGGAGGCAATGAATGGAGGTGGGCGGAAATTAACATAGGTTATGTTGAAAACACTGGGGTAACACTGGTGAACTAAAAACAATTGCTACATGAAGTGTGAAGCGGCTCCCAGACTTAAAGGAACTGTAACATTTCCAATGAGGTCCTGGTGGTTCTCGATAGTGTAGCTCACTTGGCGGTGGTGGCAGTGAGACACTGTGAGGATTCAGAGGTTTTCTGCAGAGCCGGCTCTACTGTTACCCAACAGCCTCATGTGGCAGATGCTGGAGTGGGGGTGGGAGGAGAGAAAGTGTTTGAGAGCAGAGCTAGTCTGCTCCCCTTAGGGAGAGTGTAAGATGTTGTCGCTTTATCTTTGTGGAAATCTGATTCAGCTGCCATTCCAGCCAGTTTCTGTCCAAGTCATGGGAGGGCACCATCTTGTCCTAGGCTTTGGGGAAGCCCTCAGTTTTGGTTTCTTAATTTGAGGCTAGGCTGGCCAACAGCTGTGTCGTTAGATGCCCTTCCCTTCCCCTGGCAGTTAAGTACATTTTACCCCACCTCCTCACAGATGATAATGTGGGTGCCAGCTTAATCATAGTGGGTTTCAGGCACAGCAGTTGCATACAGTAGCATTGCCCTCCAGATGTTTCATCTGGACTACAGCTCCCATCAGTCCTATCATCATATTTGACAGGCTCCATCAGGCCTCTTTGCTCACTCCATCAGCTCTGGTGTGAAGGCCAGCTCCATCAGACACCTTCTGTGCCTGAACTGTAACAGCGGGTCATTATAGGAGCAACTGTTTAAGAACTGGTGCCCGAATTTTGGTTATGATTTTCCCGCTCCCTCCCTGTCCCTTTTCCCTTGGATGTTGTGGGTTTGTTTATTGTCAGCCTGAGAGTAGGGACTGCCTTGCATGTATGTAGCTCTGGGAGCTGCTTTGCCTGAAAAGTGAGATCCAAATGTAGTAAAAAAATAAAAATAAACACAAACCTATAACCAATGTCTTAAACATAGTGGAGCTGTAATTCCATTGGCATAAGGCCACCCGAAGCATTCATTTATCAATAATTAAACTGCTATGTTTCTCCTGTGAGAAAGTTAAACAAACCATTACTTAAGCTGGCATTAAAATTGGTTTTAGTACTGGTAGATAGTAAATATTTTGATCTGTACATCCACAACTAAATATAGTTATGCAGACACTTCTTACTTCATCTTCCATATGTGTTTAAAGGGGAATGTGTAGGAACATACACGTTCTCCTGTCTGTATTTCTGAAGGCACTTGGAAAGAACACTGAACTCTTCATTATTGGGAAGGCGAAATGGTTGGCATGATTACCTAATTCACTTTCTAATTAAGGAGGCTACGCACACCTCAAATCTTAGTGAACTTTTATTTTTTGCATAAGCTTCCTAATTTTTTTTAAGCTGAGCAAGAAAATTCTGAACTGAAGTTTTCCCAGACTAAAGAATTTCAACATTACACAATGGGGGAGGCGGAACATGCCTGTATCAGCATCTCATCTGCCTTTCTATTGTGCCTTTTCCATTACTGCAGGTAACATTAGTTGCAAGGGGATGACAGAGCGCATTCATAGCATCAATCTCCACAACTTCAGCAATTCTGTGCTCGAGACCCTCAACGAGCAACGCAACCGTGGCCACTTCTGTGATGTGACGGTCCGCATCCACGGGAGCATGCTGCGCGCCCACCGTTGTGTGCTGGCGGCCGGCAGTCCCTTCTTCCAGGACAAGCTGCTACTGGGCTACAGCGACATTGAAATTCCTTCTGTGGTGTCAGTCCAGTCAGTACAAAAGCTCATTGACTTCATGTACAGCGGGGTGCTACGGGTCTCGCAGTCAGAGGCCTTGCAGATCCTCACAGCAGCCAGCATCCTTCAGATCAAGACTGTGATTGACGAGTGCACCCGGATTGTGTCACAGAATGTGGGCGACATCTATCCAGTGATCCAGGATTCTGCCCAGGAGACGCCGCGAGGAACTCCTGAGTCAGCCACTTCAGGACAGAGCAGTGATACAGAGTCCGGCTACCTGCAAAGTCACTCACAGCACAGTGTAGACAGGATCTATTCAGCATTGTATGCCTGTTCTATGCAGAATGGTAGCGGAGAGCGTTCATTCTACAGTGGAGCAGTGGTCAGCCACCATGAAACAGCGCTGGGACTTTCCAGAGACCATCGTATAGAAGACCCAAGCTGGATTACACGGATCCATGAGCGCTCACAGCAGATGGAGCGGTATCTCTCCACTACCCCAGAAACTACACACTGCCGGAAGCAACCACGTCCAGTTCGGATCCAGACCCTCATGGGCAATATTCACATCAAGCAAGAGATGGAGGATGACTATGACTACTATGGACAGCAGAGGGTACAGATCCTAGAGCGAAATGAATCTGAAGAATGCACTGAGGATACAGATCAAGCAGAAGGCACTGAGAGCGAGCCCAAGGGGGAAAGCTTTGACTCAGGAGTCAGTTCCTCTATTGGCACTGAGCCTGATTCTGTTGAGCAGCAATTCATAACTGGTCTAAGCCGAGAAGGTCAGCAAGACCCTCCTCAAGCAGAACAAAATGATGCTTCTGCTGAAGGCATTCAGCAGCAGCACATAGATGCCAACTCTTCCTCACCGGAGAGAGGCAATGACATTGAAAGGGACAGCACACTGCTCACTGTAAGCAACAGTACTGAAAAGGGGACTTTGCAGCCTTCTATCACTACAACTGTTGCCCAAACATTGCCAAGCACCCAGCTCTACTTACGCCAGACAGAAACTCTCACCAGCAATCTGAGGATGCCGCTGACCCTGACCAGCAACACACAAGTCATTGGCACAGCTGGCAATACCTACCTGCCTGCACTGTTTACTACACAGTCTGCTGGCAGTGGTCCTAAGCCTTTCCTCTTCAGCCTGCCCCAACCCTTAGGCCAACAGACACAGTTCGTGACAGTCTCCCAGCCTGGTCTGTCAACCTTTACTGCTCAACTGCCAGCCCCACAGCCCCTGGCTCCTTCTGCAGGCCACAGCACAGCAGGTGGGCAGGGTGAAAAAAAGCCTTATGAGTGCACCCTCTGCAACAAGACTTTCACCGCCAAACAGAATTATGTCAAGCACATGTTTGTACATACAGGTAAGTGTGTGCCTCTTATTTGTGAGGCTGTAGGCTCAAAGAGGAAAAACCTTTATAAATATGCAGTCGGTTAGAAGAGATATTCTTCTATTTAACACCCTCATGTTGCATTTAAATAATAATAATAATAATAGTCATATGATGCTGAAAGAATTCATAAGTGTCTCTTTCAACATCTTATTCTCATATATTGTAAAAGCACATCAGTTTGTTCTCAGACAAGCGGAGAAAAAAATTCTTACAATTCTTCAGAAATGATATAGAAAGAGTAGGAAAGAACATTAAAAAGTCAGATAAAATAAGGCAATGAACAGGAAGGTAGGAAGTCTAATGGGATGGGAGAATGGGGCAGCTTCAGAGCTGCAAAGGCGAAGACTGCTGGTTGCCCACCTATGCAATACAGTAGCACATCTTCTTGAGAACAAATGAAAATTAAATGCTAGAACAGGTAAAGTTTTGTAACATAAGCAAGTTTTGGAGCTGTAAATATCTTTGAGAACTATTCTAAAACCTCTAAATGTAGGATCTTTCATGCCAAAAACTTTCATCATGAATCTGGATAAAAATAAATCCCAAAGTATACATTTTCGAATCTTTGTGGGAAGAAAATTTCAGTGACCTAGCTTGGAAAACTGATAAGTTTGAGAAGTGGGCACTAGCCTATGAAAAAGCAGGCCACCAAATACTGTCAGTTTTTAAGGTGATAAGGAGATCCTGCTCCTTATACTTTATTTTGTAATTTAATTTCTTGGCTAGGAAATTAATATAGTCACTTACCTGGCGAAAATTCACTGTCGAAAGATACAAAGTGAAAAATGTAACTTTCAGTGTAAACACACTTTTAAAAGTGTCTCCTTAACCTGTAAAGAGAAGCAACATAGTCCATTTGGTTGGGAAGATAAATGATACCAAAGGAAGTTATAGCAAGGTGCGGGGGGCGGTATAGTATGTTAGGAGACGGTGCCACACCTCACCAACTGTCACTTCTAAGATATATGTCTCATACTTCACTATGGATGCAGCTACAGCAAAGGCATGATCCCCTAATTCCATTTTTTATGCCTTGCTGTAAAGTAGCTACCAGTTGCTGCTGTGTGCTACACAGAGTGCGTTGAACCTTTAGCCAAGTGTTAACTTCGAAATGTATTAACCAGTGCTTTTTTCGGGGGGGGGACACAGGGGTACACATACCCCTAAACATTTTGTGTACCTAAGTTTGGCCTCATTCAGGGGCAGTATTTCAATATGAGTAGGAAAATGAGAGTACCCCCTAAACATTTTTTAAGAAAACAAAGCACTGGCATAAACAGAAAGGTTTTGTATGTTTTGAATAATATATTCCCCTTTATTAACATGATTTTTAAAAGTGTTTTAACTGATATTCAAAATTGCTAGCTAGCTAAATAAACAGTAATCCAGTACAGCAAAAACCCCTGGTCTGTATGTCCTGTGTTAAAATATAGAGTGCTGTAAGAAGGTTATCTAACCCAGCTATACATTAGTATCCATGGCATAACAATACTGACAAGAGAAAGCCAAGAAACTATCACTCTGTTCCTCACTTGGGGCAAGTTACTTTATATTTGTGTTCATTTTCTGTTGTTTGAGAAAATGAGTTATCACCTTCAATTGAAGTAAGAGAGAGAAAATATCACATACAATAAAAGTAGATACTGATTTCCAAGAAAGCTCTCCTCCCTAACCGTTGTTCTATAATTATAACAAAAAGAAGTAGCTAATTCGTTAGAGACCTTATTCAGTGTTAAATTTTTTTCTCCCCGGTTGTCTCTTTCTCCCCATCTTTTCCTCTCCCCTTATGCTATTATGCAGGTGAGAAGCCGCACCAATGCAGCATTTGTTGGCGATCCTTCTCCCTAAAGGATTACCTAATCAAACACATGGTGACTCACACCGGTGTCAGAGCCTACCAATGCAGCATCTGTAACAAGCGTTTTACCCAGAAGAGCTCCCTAAATGTGCACATGCGGCTCCACCGTGGGGAGAAATCCTATGAATGCTACATCTGCAAGAAAAAATTCTCACACAAGACCCTGCTCGAAAGACACGTGGCTCTTCATAGTGCCACAAATGGAACACCTAGCACAACGGGCACTGGTGCAAGGGCTCTTCCCACTGGAGTGATGGCCTGCGCAGAGGGAACCACATATGTCTGCTCCGTCTGTCCTGCTAAGTTTGACCAAATTGAGCATTTCAATGACCACATGAGGATGCATGTTTCAGATGGATAAGTAAAATCTATTCTGTTATGAACAACAACAAAGCCCAACCAGAGAAACAACAACAAAAAGCTATGGCACTAGAATTTAATAATTTTTTTTCATTTTTACTTTTTTGTTTGTTTATTTTCATTTCATTTTTGTACTACATGAAGAACTGTTTTTTGCCTGCTGGTACATTACATTTCTGGAAGCTGGGTGAATAGTAATTAGCTCAGCCTTCCTTTGATGGTGGCCTTAAGGCCAGATAGTGCTTCAAGAGATCTACTGGTTGGATCTCTAGCTACTGGCCTCTAAATACAACCCTTCTTTACTACAAAAAAAAACTTTTAAAAAAATCTTCTTTGTCACTTGTGAAGAGCACTACACACAAAAAAACCCCAACAACTAGAGGAGAAATATGTTATGAAATCTACAAGGCCTACTGTCGTAAGTACACCGCTTACAGTGTTTCAATGGACAGATTCACAATTCTGACCGCTCTGGACTTCACAGTATCCAGTTAAAACTGTGGAATAGAACCATATGGTTGAGCAGCAACCACCGAAAATGGGCCCTATTGGATTCCACCATTAGTCTTGCTATCTTAAAAAAGGGCTGTGGAGAAGGGCAAGGGAGTTTGGGTTGGATGGTGTGGAGTCCCTGCAGGATGGGGAAGGAGAATAATAGGTTCCTCTTGTGGATTCTGTTCCATTCCACACATTCTGATTCACGATTCCCAACTTCTTTCCTCCCCACTAACATCAACACCATATTTCATCAAAAGCTAGGAACAATGAAGTAAGAATTGAGGTGAGCAAAGCTGGCATTTTATGTAATTTATTCAGTGTCTTTGCTGAGCCATGGGCCTCAGCACAATCAACGGGACTTTTGCAAATATCAAAGAGAAACAGCAAAAGGAAAAGATTTCAATATTTTTTTTCCCACCTAGTGTTCTAGATACACGAAAAGGATTAGCTCCCACAATCTTTGGGGGTAGGTTTGTTTTTTTGTTTTTTAAAAGGCTGCATCAAGATTTATTCTTGTGGAGGAAAGTGACGTAGAAAGTGGGTGGGAAGTAACTAAAAAAAAAAGTTCTCAAGATTTTTTTTAATTCAAAATTTTATAGAGGGACAGATGTGGTGTTTACCAGATAGAGTGCTGATTTTTAAAAAAAATATATTTACCACAGTATTTGTGTAAAAAAACAAAAAAACAAAAGTGTAACCTTGTTAAAAGTAATTTTTGTTTTCTCTTTTGTTTTGCATACACTGCCACTAATATCTGCTCAGTTACATAACTGAATATATATGTGTATGGTGTGCACATGTATAAATATATGCATATATATTTATATGTGCACGTGCGCACACACATATATATCTATATATATATCATTGTAGATAAGGACTGTTCAGATTAGGAATCCTACTTCCAATTAGCAAGAGGGGAAAAGAGAACGAGGTGATCCTGATGTCTTGTTTCAACAAAAGATAACGTATCAACCTTTTTCTGTTATTTTTCTCTGTGCTTTTTAGTAGTTTGAAAATAGCGGTCTGGGAGTAAAGTGATATTATATGTGATTTTCCCCTCCATCATATTCTGCCCGCCTTGTAGTGTCACTTGAAAAGCTGTTCTGAATTTGAAGTTTTGGTTTTATTTGGCTTTTAATTGATTTTCATCTAAGGTTCTGATGAAAGGAAATTGGTTTTCAGAAGCAAGATTTTAACACTATTTATCTGGCCTTTGGAATGGGAGTATTTGTTTTGCTCATAAGTCCTGAAGTCCCTAGGTGGGCAAAGTATGAAGATTGTTCTAACACATCCTGTTATTCTGTCTTTAATCTTCCATAAATGAGAAATGGATCCAGTATCTTTAGTTACTAAGATACCATGATTGTTCTTTTTCCTTACAAATACAGCTCATCTTTGTTATTTTTCATCTGCAAAGATATTAAAGTTTGGATAGGTACAGAAAGGTGTGGCCCAAAGTGGAATAAGGCAGGCAGGATATACATTAGAAATTCATTTCATTTCGTTTTATTATTGATGCAAGGTGTGTCCCCTAAGTTTTAACATCTTCCTAGAGGAGTTTTTGAGAATTCATCACCCAAGGTTGACTGACATGCTTTTAGTGCCTAGTTGAATTGGACCAATGTCTGACAAATCTCGTAAGCATTTGTCCTGTGCGGTAATTTCTAGTCCAAACAAAGTGCCGTATTTTTCGCTCCATAAGATGCACCTGACCATAAGACGCACCTGCTGGAGCCTTGGCAACGGGACAGCGCCTGCAGCTCAGTAAGCCTGCCTCCAAAGGCAGCAGCAGCGGTGAAACTGAACTCATTGGCATTCACGGCGGCTGCACCAACAGCCGCCGCTGCCGCTCTTTTCAGTGAGCCTCATTCTCCAGCCGCAACATCTATCTCCCTGGGCAATATTTGCTCAGACATTACTCGGCTCTGTTGGTAGCACCTCTCTCTCTCTCTGGCTTGGCATTAAGCCGCAACAGCTCCCCGGGAGAGAGGACACTGGGGGAGGGGGTGGAGAGAGAGCGAGAGAGAACTAGCTTGTCTAGATCAGGCGTTGTTAATTTGTATACCGCCCTCCATCCAAAGACCACAACGTAAAAATGCAAAACAAAAACAGAGCAAAAGTGAAGGTTGCCACCTCGCCTTGCAAACAAAACCCAAAAGTGTTGCCTGCCAGCCTTGCTTGCTCATCCAAGGGATAAAGAGACCCGTTTCCTCTACTTCTGGGCAACGTCTCCCTCAGAGCCTTCAGACATACATGGGCATCTGGCAGCTAAGAGGCGGATATATTGCTTGGCGGGAGCTCCCAGTCCCAATTTGACAGAGCACGCGAGGGAGAAAGTTCCCCCTCTGTGCTGGCTCCCGGCTGCTCTCATGCAAGTCACAGAGTCCCTCGGATGGAGGGAACTATAAAGAGTGTTCTAAAGCCTTCTTGGGGGATGCTCATGCGGGCGCCACCATTAGGATGCTCACATGGGCGACATGCCACGCCCCCACTGCTCCAAGAACCAAAGTCCCCAGCTCCGCCACTGCCAGGGACCACACATTCGCTCCATAAGACGCACAGACATTTCCCCTTCCTTTTTAGGAGGAAAAAATTGTGTCTTATGGAGCGAAAAATACGGTACAATAATATGTAAAAGAAGAGACAAAGAGGAAATACTTAGATAGATTGTATCCCTTTCTCAACCAAATTTGCTGAGACTATTCCTAAGCATGCTTATGTGGAAATAAATTCCATGGAAATCAGTGGGACCTACTCCACGTAACACACGTAATTACAGTGACAGAATTACTAACATCTGTGGACTTTATGAGACACTCCTCCATGCTAGACAGCTTTATTCTTATTTATTTAATACTTAAATCTTCACTATTCCTTAGGGTGAAAACATTTGTTTTACTGTTTATAATCTATCTGGGATAAAATGGCATAGTTAGGGGATATTGTCAGATTTCTAGGTAGCCAGTTTGTATATGATTGTTTTAAGATCCTAACCAGTTACAATGAGACAGACTTATCACATATGATAAATATTACAATATCACGACAATATTTTCAAAGATGACATTGTTTCAACATTAACTTTTAAAAAATGACTATTGGCACAAGTGAAAGGATATATACTGTTCTTATAAATTATTTAAGCAATTTAGATGCTGCCCCTGTCACCAGTCAATAAATGCACGATATCACAGTTCTAAACAAGCTGAACGGAAGTCCCTGTATAGGAACTTTATCCCCACTGGGCTCTGAACTGAGGAAAATGCGTTTAAGATTGAGATTATAAATGTTGACTGCCATTGTAGTAATTCACAAACTAAAGGCAAAAAATAGCTGCATCAGAATGAAAAGAGAAAGATCAGGAAGTGCACAAAAGTATATGACAGTGTCTTTTGGAAGAACATTATCTTCACTGAGTACAAAGATAATGTTCTTTAATTTACTTTAAGCAATATCTCAAATTTCTTCACATGAGGAGAAAAGGTAGTTGTCAATAACAGAGGGGGGGAAGAATACGATAAAATACCCTAATAATAAATTTGATTGAGGTGTCAAAAGAGGGACAAGTATTTGGGAAAGTGATGGGGAAGCAGTTTAGAATCAGTATTTTTGATATCAATGTCCCCCTAATGTACTATCTCTACAGTGAAAATCTGTATTAAAATATCAATATATAGTAATCTGATGCTCAATCACAAATGAAAAACGCCCATCAGAAATTACGACATGGTTCAGACATTTACTAGGCAAGAATAGGCTTTGATTGGAGGAAGAGTAATTCAACACCCCTGCTCACACAACTGAAATAATATATATTGTGTATGCTCCATGCAGACTTTTATGTGCAGCTGATCCATTAATGTGATTTTACCAGTCTCCTGTCCTAGCAATGGAGCACCTGAATCACATGTTTCTTCCAGTGAATGGTGCAGAACAGAGACACTTGCACCACTTCACCCCATGAAAGCTGTTACCACCTGTAAATGTCTGAATTAGGTAAATTAGATTTATGAAATTTAAATTGAGTGACAAGCTATCTACCGTATTTTTCGCTCTATAACACGCACCTGACCATAACACGCACATCGTTTTTAGAGGAGGAAAACAAGGGAAAAAAATTCTGAATGAAACAGTGGATGTATCATTTTTGTGCTTCATGCTGTGGCCACAGACATGTGATCTGATGGTGAATTTGGGGTAGCTCAATGCAAAGATCCTGAGGATCCATGTGGATCCATGCTTTTTAACCACATTTTTGCACCATTGCAGCCCCAGGCAACAGTGGGTGTGTGATTTTTGGGGGGCAGGCTGCTATGTGATCTGATGGTGAATTTGGGGTGGCCCAATGCAAAGATCCTGAGGATCCATGTGGATCCATGCTTTTTAACCACGTTTTTGCACCATTGCAGCCCCAGGCAACAGTGGGTGTGTGATTTTGGGGGGGCAGGCTGCTATGTGATCTGATGGTGAATTTGGGGTGGCCCAATGCAAAGATCCTGAGGATCCATGTGGATCCATGCTTTTTAACCACATTTTTGCACCATTGCAGCCCCAGGCAACAGTGGGTGTGTGATTTTTGGGGGGCAGGCTGCTATGTGATCTGATGGTGAATTTGGGGTGGCCCAATGCAAAGATCCTGAGGATCCATGTGGATCCATGCTTTTTAACCACGTTTTTGCACCATTGCAGCCCCAGGCAACAGTGGGTGTGTGATTTTAGGGGGGCAGGCTGCTATGTGATCTGATGGTGAATTTGGGGTGGCCCAATGCAAAGATCCTGAGGATCCATGTGGATCCATGCTTTGTAACTACATTTTAAGTGGGGAGTGAAGGAAAAACACAGAAGGGACAAGAGAGCGGTGTGCAGAGAAGCAGCTGGCTAAGAAAGCAGGAGAGGGATTTTACGGGAGGGAAGAAAGAAAGGCAAAAGTTTCCACAAACCGAAGCCAGCTTTCTCTCTCCTCCTGCATGTTTTCTGGCTGCCTGCCAGGAGCACGGAGAGGAATTAGAAGGAAAGACCTCTGCTTTCCCCTCTGCTTGCCTGGAGGGGAGGGGATTTGCCTGCTCTTTGTTCCGTTTGAGCAAACACAGCAACGAAACAGAGGAGGGTGGGCAGTAAGACCCTGAGGCAGAATGCAGGAAAGCAACCACTTCCTCTTTTCAGGTTTCCCTCTCGGACACAACACACGATTGATTTTTGCTGATTTTTGTTCCTGCGCTCCCCTAATCGGCTCCAGGGACCCCCCCCCCACATTCGCTCCATAACACGCACAGACATTTCCCCTTCCTTTTTAGGAGAAAAAATCTGCGTGTAATAGAGAGAAAAATATGGTAAATACAGATTTGATTTGTTAAAGAGCAATTCTAGAACTTGCATTATTTCCAGAGATTCAAGTTATGTTCCTGTGTCTGTAGTTTTGTACATTTAGCTACACACAATACCTAAAAAGATGTAGTTTTGAATTAAGTTTTGCTACTGCCTTCTGGATTTACACAACATCTCTTTTCCAAAACTAAAGTAATACAAAAGGGGTATTAAGTTAGATGGTACCTATCCATGGGTACAAGCATAGTTTAGAGAGATGCAATCCAAAAGCTTTCTAGGGATGTTGTGTGGATACAGAGCTCCACCCATATGTAGAGCGCACCCAGGTACTGAAGATAATGGAGCATCACCAAAGCTGTCTGTCCTTACTGGAACCAATGATTCAGACCACTCTTGCAGTTAAATTTATTTCTACATAGGCAGATTAAGCCACAAGGATTACTATTAAAGAAACTAAAATTCAAAATTATATGGTTTTAATATTTTCCCTTCTAGCACGTATAAACAAGATCCATGTTATAGTCCCAATCTAACAAAGAGTGGTAGTTGGGGCTTAGATTACAGCTCCTTGGTTTAAAAAAAGTTCAATATAATTGGCAGTATACAAAAATTCCATATAGTTGTTTTCTAGCTTTACCGAATCCTAGTTTCTTTACTTTAGAAACTTTATTGCTTATTGCCAAAGGTCACCACAATCCAAAAGTCCTAATAATTTCATGGTTCCAGTGTTTGTTTTGGCACTGAATTAATTCTATAAAAAAATCATGTTGTATTTTTTTTTTTTGTTATGCTTTAAATATATTTGCACTGAACTTAACTGAACTTCCATGTATTTAATTACTAAAGGGCTCAATAACAGCACTAAAATAATCTTCCTTTTTATATTCTTTAAAATAGTCACTGAAAGCTTTGGATATATGAAGAATAGAAAACCCAGGTCGAGCCTTGTTTCTTTGCTGAGAAATGGGGAAAACCCTGGTTTGCATATAAGGTAAATGATGCTATTATTCTCTGGCCACAGGAGTTATTTCACATACTGCGGCCCATTTCAAGCCAGGTGGTTTAGAGTTATAGAGAATGGACAGTTTAAAGCTATGTCCTCACAGAACATAACCACAGTGCAAGCCTAACCATGTCTACTCAGAAGTCCTATTGAGTTCAATGGGGCTTACTCCCAGGTAAGTGGGAGTAGGATTGGCACCTTAGTGCTTTATTGCATATTACAGTGTACTATATGGGAAAAGAGGATGACTTGCATTCCTGCTTTTTGCTACGTGTTTTCTTGTCTGAAAACATGCTCATTCTCTTTTCAGGTTGGGTAACATGTACAGGTGCATTGCTCTCTGTCTCATTTTAGATCATTCCAAATTGTAATAAGCAGTGCCAAGGGGGGAAAAAGAGGGGTCCTGTGACATACAGAATTCTTGCATTTTTCTGCCATACTTTCTCCACCATACTGTTTCCCTTTACCCCAAATTTTACCCGGCAGTAGTGATGATAAAGGCTGTGGAATATAGTCTGCTGTAGTGTTCAGGGGTCTAATCAAATCTGCAGCAAGTAGCCTTTCTCATTGCCTCCACCAGGTAAATTTAATGGCAAATGTAAGGAGATCTGGGGTGAGGCCAAACAAATTACAAGCTGAATACAAACACTGATGGCTTTTGTTCTGCTTATAATTAGATTGAAAATTCTGAACTGTGGTTCCCAAGACCAAGCTTTCGAGATTTCTAGTGAGCATGCCCTGGGCCTCTGATGGTGGCATGATGTGTTACAGTCACTTAGACTAGCACACAGGGCAAGGAGCCAAAGGCTGTTTGGCAGTGACTGTAGGTAGTAGGTGAATTGAACTTAAACTGGATTTGGCATTTGGTATCTGAAAACGGATCAATTTAGGAACACCATTTGTATGGCTTTTTAAAGAGGACACTGTCATTTACTTTTGATGCAAAAAAATTCATTTCACAAAAGCATTTTAGAAAGCATAAAGTTTAGATTAGGTATCAAAATAGCATTTAAAATTTCACAAGCAGTGCTGTTTACCCAAGAACTGGACCTGTCCTGACAAAAACTAGAAAATAAAATGTTTGGGTTCCCCACCCCCCATTTTCACACTAGTTCCCTACACCAATTATAGGAAGTGGCAAATGGCAGTAAAGAAAGATAAATAATACGAACATATTTGAGAAGAGAAAAGAACATGTAATTCGCTAAATCAGAAATAAGTTCTACAACATAAATTAAAAGCTTGTTTTTTCAATTCTGTCATTACATCACAGATATTAAATTGCTCATAGAAGTAGTGTGCTTGTCATGGGGGTTGCGGAATATAAGTTACCCATAAAAACTAGGGCCATTTTTGCATCTACTAGAACATCTTTGATAATACATGAGGACGGCAGACAAGAGTAGTAACCAGCCACCACCTTCAGAACATAAAGCAAACTCCTGTTTTGAGTGACTGTAGTTAAGTTTTTGTTCTCACTGCTTTTGTTCTCTTTCCCTCATCCAATGAAAGGAATCTGTATTTAAGTTTAAAACCTCTCCTGAAGCTCCCAATTTCCCTTCAAGAAAAAAGTGTTTGCTTCTAGCATCACCTGTATGCCATTTCCCATTAGGAAGCTGCTTCATATCAGGTCTGATTTTTTGCCTCTTGAGTGGCAGTGGTTGTGCATGGTCTCAGGCAAAGAACAGCCTTTCCTATAACCTACAACCTAATACCAGAGATTGAAACTGGGACCTTCTGCATGCAAAGCATGTGCTCTACCACTGAGCTATGGCTCCTCTCTTCTGTCTGGTTCTTGCAGTGGCACCTTTATGAGATAGCCGGATAGGAAAGTTGGGGGGGGGACATTTTTAGAAAGAGGGAGCAGAGGAGCACTGCAGTATATGCTATCCATTAAATGAGTATTTATCCCAACTCCATCTACTGATGGGAGTCTTAACTTTTGCTTCATAAGGTTGTCCTAAAATACTTGTACTGTAATAAAGTACCCAAGAAGTTAGTGAGATTAAACAGAATATTATTTGGGAAGCAATTATATTGCAGCCTTATGTAGGATTGCTGCCTTAAAACAAACAGACAAAATCTTTAAAGAGGGAGTGTGTTATTTTTTTATACCTATGTTGAATATATATTATTTTTAAATGTTCATTCATTTGTATGAAATGCTGCACATTTTGTTTTAGAACTGTGTGATAGTATGTGGGACAGCAAGGGTTATCTGTGAAGAGGCCACCAGCTGGAAAGTATTAGTGCTACTATTATAGTAGCTGCTATCTATTTGCACTGCACTGTGCCTGTTGGATGTCAGTCAACTAATAAGTTAAACAATTCAGTTGTATTGGTGTTATCTTGATTTTAATTTTGCAATCTAAATCCCTAGTTTGGTCATATGTTGCTTTATCTGAATGTAGGCTTCACAATGCGAGCAAAAGACTAATGGCCAAATTTGACATGCCAGTGTCATGTTTGCCTATGTTATCATATATCTCTCCAATCACATAGAAAGCAGATGAAGAGGGACCAATATAAAGGGGCATTTAGCTAAGGAGCCCCACAACCCCTCTCAGGACAGGTCTGTTTTTAGTAACACAGATCTGCCAAATTACTTCATTTGGCTCTATCATTTGCAATAGATTTGAAAAGAATGGTCCATTTTCCTACTTTTCCATTCTTTTTACTTATGATCTGGAACAAGTATTGTACATTTTAGCACATTTCTTTTTTTGCAATAGAAACATTGCAACAGAAATATAATCCTAGAATACTACATTTAAAAAAAAA